CAATTCCTGGTGCCTTTTTCTTTGCCAATTCCTTCAATGCACCTTGGACTTCCTCCTTCAGTATCATTGGCTCTTGATCATATGCTACCTCTTGAAATGAGTGAACATTAACCATTTCCTTTGGTACAGAGACTCTGTGTATTCCTCCCATCTTGATTGCATGTTTGATCAATTTCAGATTGAAGAAATTGGTAGAATTCTTCTATTTCACCCTCACTGGCTTTAGTGGTTGGTGCGTAAATTTGAAATCAATAGTAGTATATTAATTGGGCTTCCCTGTAGGCGCATGGATATTATCTTATCACAGACAGCACTGTACCTCAGGACTGATCTAGGTATGTTCTTTTTGACAATGAATGCAACACAATTCCTTTTCAATTTGTCATTCCCAGAATGTAAACCATGTGGTTGTCAGATTCAAAATGGCCAATACCAGTCTATTTCAGCTCACTAATGCGTAAGATATCGATGTTCCATTTCATTTTTGACAACTTCCAATTTCCCCAGATTCATACTTCGTACATTCCATGTTCCGATTTTCCATGGATGTTTACAGCTGTTTCTCTTCATTTTGAGTTGTGCCCCATCAGCAAATGAAGGTCCCGGGGCTTTTCTCCCACAAGCTCTACTGCATTTGCATCATCACGGTCAACTCTACTTTGAGGAGGCAGCTCTTCCCCAGTCACATTGTGAGTGCCTTCCAACCTGAAGGGCTCATTTTCCGGCACTATATCTGACAGTGTTTCTCTGGTATTCACAAGGTTTTCAGTGACTAAATATTCAGAAGTAGTTCGTCACTCTTTATTCCTAGTCTGTCTTCTTTGGAAACTCATCTGAAACCTGTCTACCATGGGTGACTCTGCTGGTATTTAAAATACCTGTGGCATAGCTTTCAGAATCACAGCAACTCACAAGCCACCATAGTACGAAAAACTGACAGACTTATGGATGTAGTAGCTCAAAAAAGGGAACAAACCTTTATAGCAAGGGTTACTCCTACCCCCTCAGTATGCAGGGTTGACAGGGATGGGCAACTTAGACACTGGCTACCCAAAATGGGGGGGCCATAAAGGCAAGAAGTGACTGGCTTACAAGCTTTCAAGAGGGAGCCTAGTTCCAGATGGGATGGAGGAAGGTAGAATCACCAATGAATGATATCCAATTGGTTGGGACTGGGCTGGTGAAAAGATATAGGGATAAGACTCTTGTGGTACAATAGTGAATGACTGCCATCAAGACTGACTGTGAGGGTAGGAAATATAGAGGTAGATGTTTTTTGACAAAAGGAGGCGAGTGATTGATTTTGCAGCCCAGGAGCAGAGGTCACTGGGACCATTAAGTAAGAAGAACAGAGAGGCAGTGATGCCAGGGATGGAGACAGAGAAGATGATGTGGACTGATGGAGCGGCTGGGGACACTGGACTCAGGGAGGGAGAGGGACTGTGTGCTGGTGGTCGGGCGGCAGGCCTGTGTGGTGTACCCTTTGGTTATGTGATGATGCATGGAGGGTATTGTAATCATTGCAATGAAACGAGATACGATAGGATGAATGTAAAGCTGATGTTATCCCATGTAAACCTCACAATAAAAACTTAAAAAAAAAAAAAAGAGTTGCTGGAAGAAAACTTTCCTAACATCATGAAAGCCAAGTAGACAGCCATTCAAGAAGTTAAACCAACTCCAAACAGGACAGACCCCAAAAGAAAATCACCAAGACAAATTATAATCATACTTTTCAAAACCAAACACAAGGAAAAATTCCTGAGAGTAGTTCAGGAGAAACAAAAACGTTTCCTACAGTGATAGTTAGGTTCTGTGTCAACTTGTTTGAGCCAGGGTTCCCAGTTGTTTGGCAGTGATAGTTAACTCGATGATGACTGGCTATGAGCAGCCAATCAATTGAAAGGATGTTTCCTTGGGGCTGTGGCCTGCTCCCAATATAATGGACAGGCAGGAGAGATTCTATCTCTTCCCAACTGGGTTGTCCTCTAACATCTGGTTCTTTGAACCTGACCCAGTGGCCTGCTTTACTATGTATGTGCTGCTGCGCCTACCCACGGAGAGTGCCTGGAAAACTGGACACCCACTGGAGGACCCCGTATGCCTACCTGTTCCTGTCACCCCAGCTTGTGTGCTCTGTGCCGCCAGTTCAGCAACACAGCTGCCAAGGACCTGGTTGACCATCATCCTGCTATCTATCATTCCTTCTCCAGCACAGAGATCTGCTCTGTGCCCAGACAGGATTCCTGCCTGCCTTTCAGAGCTGCATGCCAATCTGGCTTCACCTGGCCTACACTTGGAACTCTCCTATGTCTACAATCATGAGCCATTTCCTTGATACAAACTACTCTCTCTCATATATATATGGCACTGGCTTTACTTCTCTAAAAAACTCAGCTTAAGAAACCTACAAAGGAAAACAAATAAAACTAAGTTCTGATTTCTCAGCAGAAACCATGCAGACGAGATGACAATGGGATGACATATATATACCTATGAAAGAAAAAAGCTGCAAACCAAGAATCATACACCTACAAAAACTGTCCATCAAAAACAATGGCGAGGGCTTGAGCCGCTCTAACTCCTCCCTCAGGAGACCGCCGCAATCGGCCCATGTGTGCTCCTGGGGAATCATGTGTGACCAAAAGGCCATGATCAAAAATGCTGACATATCGGAGGAGATGTGCTTTGCAGGCACTGGAGAAGTACAACATCGAGAAGGACATCGCAACCCACATCAAGAAGGAGGTTGACAAAAAGTACAACCCCACCTGACATTGCATCGTGGGGAGAAACTTCAGTGGTTATATGGCACAAGAAACTAAGCACTTCATCTACTTCTACCTGGGTCAAGTGGCCATTCTTCTGTTCAAATCTGGTTAAAGCATGGACTGTGCCCACACACCTAGTGATCCATCGAAAACCAAGGACTGCAGCCTCAGTTCCAAATACCAGAGACTGAAATCTTCAGCCTTGCTAAGGAACACCTCCATCTTTGACCCTTCATTGTGTTGGTTTGTACAGGGGTCTTCTCTGTCCTAGTTAGTTGTGGTTATAAAACAATTAGCAAAACGGCAAAAAAAATTCAAACACCGCTTTCAAAAATGGATTTGGAAAAACAAAAAAAAAAAAAAAAAAAAATGGCGAAATTAGGACATTTACAGATAAACAGAAATTTAAAAATTTGCCAAAACCAGACCAATCTTACAAAAAGTACTAAAGGGAGTTCACTGACAGAAAACCAACCACAGCAGATAACAACCTGAAACTAACTAACATACACAATAATATCACCTAAAACTTAACCCAGATTTAGTATTCAAAGTAAAACAAACCGAAAAGACTGAAAATAGGGAACCAGTGGCATGTTTGCAACAACAAAATATAAAGTAAAAACAAAGAAAGAAAGAACAATGTAGTTGTAGAACTTCCAAAGGAAGGGGAAATCAACTAGATTTCAAGATAAAAATTAAATTAAAAAATAAACCTAACTGTAGCCCCCAAACTAGATCAAGCCTTACTCCCTAGCCCAAGCCCTATCCTTAACATTAATCCTAGTCCTAACCATAACCCTAATACTAAATGAAGTACCCACCCCAAAATTTAAAAAAGTAAATAAATAACCCCACTTCAGCCTGGGGTTGGAATGGTCAGGGTTTCTTACCTATATACACCCTCGGTGCTACTGAGAGCTGCAATTCCTGCAACCAGGGAATGGGCCAAGTGGTATTTGCCATCATTCATTGCTCTGTCAAACTGGATTTTCTGATCACACAGCATCCATAACTACATAGGGAAAAAAAGAGAGATTCAACAATTCAAGAAAATAATGGCAAACATTCACTTTATTACTATCCACTGGGGATATAGAGGTATTTTTACTTGCTGAGCGAATATCCATAGAACAATTCATTCACATTCTTCTTTTTAGATTGAGACCTAGAATTTTTTAAATATTATTCCAAGCATGTGAAAAGCACAAAAATAAATTAACAAACTCATGTATACCAATCACGGACTGCATCAAGTCATAACACAATGCTGCTGTATTTGCTACAGATACTGTGAGGTGTTACTAAAGTCTTGTGTTTCTTCACAAATCCCATTTCCCTCTCTCCTTTTCCATGTTCTTACACTTTTACAACATATACATTTGTCCATAAACAAAGCAAAGTCTTACTTCATATGCTTTTAAACTTTGTATAAATAGCGACTCCTGTTGTAGTGCTATAGGATCAGCAATAGACTATGAACAACAAGGTTGGCAGTTCAAATCCACCAGCTGCTCCTTGGAAACCCTCTACAGGGTTACTATGAGTGGGAATCTTGACAGTATTTAACAACAACATATGCATCCTTTTGGCAAGCTGCTGTTTACCTCACTTGCTCTTCTGAAACTTACCCACATAGTTCTGATCCATTCATTTTCCCTGCTGCATAGTTTTAAGCATATGAGTACGCAATGGGCCTCTAGGGAGTAAGGAACACTGACAGAGCAATGAGGAAGTCAGCGGCTACCCAAACTCACCAACTGCTTTATGGCAGAAAACACCTGGCGATCTGCTCCTCAAAGATTAGAGCCTAGGAACTCCTACGGGGCGGTCCTAGTTAGTGCTATCGAGCTGTTGCTATGAGTCAGAATAGACTTGTCAGCACACAACGCATCTCAGTGATGTTGCTGCGAACTGCTGTTGAGTTGGTTCCAACTCATAGCAACCCTGTATAGGGTTTCCAAGCAGCAGCCGGTGGACTTGAACCACCAACTTTGTTATTATTCCACAGCACCACACCAGGATGCCACGTAGATATTGTTGTTGTTGTTAGGTGCTGTCAGTTGAATCCGACCCTCAGCGACCCTGTATAGGGTTTCTAAGGAGAAGCTGGTGAGCTTGAACCACGGACCTTGCAGTTCAAACAACTTTGAAGCCTGACGCATTAGCCCACAGTGCCATAGTGCCCTGCTTTTGACTCTTCTGAATACTGCTGCGGTAAACATTCTTGTGCATCATTCCTTGGTGCATACAAAAGAGTATATGGGAAGTCATGGAAATGATGGGCACTGACATGGGCATCTTCAACTTTAATCGACCACCCAGTGACTCTTCAGATGGGTCATGCCATTGACCCTCCTCACGAGGAGGGCACAACACAACCTGTTGCCAATCAACACCTGGCACTGCCAGACATTTTACTTTTGGCTATTCTGATGGAGAAGAAATGTGTCATTTTTGTTTGAATTTCCCAGGTCACCAGTCAAGTTCAGCATCTTGTAATTATTTATTGGCCATACATGTTTTTTCTCTGAAGTGTGAATTAAAGTGATTCATTTTTTTGTCATGCAGGAAAAAGACCCCACACAGGCCCCACATGCTGACATTCATCACGCCATATGCAATGAGGCAAGGACAGTGACCTGGGTGAATGACTGCCTCAGGGACCCTCATTAGGTGATTCTAGGCCATGGGCTTCTCACAATTTCAAATTCCCAAATCTCTAGAAGGGTACACTTGTAAAGGAAGAAAGAAAATAGGGAGCTTCTTGAAACCGTTTTGTCAGACCCTATCAGAGAAGGAAATTCAGGTAAAAAGGAAGAAAAGGTCTTGGACTGCTTTACAGTTCACCTTCTTTGGGTACATCCATCCCAACTTTCAGAGGAGAAGCTTAAAGTTACCATGTAAGAGACAACAGAACAGACCTAATTCTTGATCTACTCAAGAACACTGATGATTTCTTTATGTCCAGAAGATGACGGGAAAAAGGACTCTTCTTTATATCTTAGTTCCTCAGCTTTGGTAAATGAACTTGGCTCACAAAGTCTCATACATTCCCCTGCGAAGCGTGGATAAAGGAACCATGAGAAACGGAGGGAAACTCTGAAATGTCCCAGTCTGACAATAACATTACACAGACAGTCTCTGCGAAACGAAATCTGACGCATGCAGAAGGCAGGTTACCTGGGCATGTTGACTGTTGGGTGGGAATCGTTCCTTCAAATGCTTTAATACTTCAGAAGCTGCAGCGAAACAGCCCTAAAGTAGAAAATCACCATATGATTAGAACACCTGAGTCAAAAGCACTGTAGGTAGGCAAGGACGTTCTTGGGGTAACAACCTGCAAACACCAGGAGAGACAGAAACTTCACAAGGCTACATTTTGTTTATTTTCTAATATATTTTAGGGGTTTTTTGTTTTTTAAACACTTTTATTGTGAATTGAGTGGTAGTTTACATGGGAGAACATCAGATTTGCACTCATCCTATCATATTTTGTTTCACTGCAATGATTGCAATCCCCTCCAAGCATCGCTATTTAACAATATTTTCTTCTATTTCCTCTGGTTTTCTGTCTTTTTTTTTTTTTTTCAAATGTTTTTTATTGTGAATTATGTGATAGTTTACATGGGAGAACATTAGTTTTACATTCATCCTATCGTATATTGTTTCATTGCCATGGTTACAATCCCCTCCATGCATCAACAACCAACCAAAGGGTATACCCTGCAAGCCTAGGCCTGCCTCCTGGTAGTCAGCACACAGCCCCTCTCCCTCTCTGGGGTCTAGAGTCCCCAGCCACTCCATCCCTCCACATCATCGTCTCTGCCTCTATCTCTGGCGTCACTGCTTCTCTGGGTAGGGTCCCACTCTCTGCTATTCTCCCTTGATGGTCCCAGGGACCTCCACTCCTAGACTGTGAAGTTAATCCCTCCCCTCCTTGCTACAGAATGTCTACCTTTACATTTCCAACCCTCACAATCAGTCCTGATAACAATTATTCACTATTGTATCACAAGAGATCTATCCCCATCTCCTTTCA